GGCAGATAATGTAGCTGGCTTGTACTTGGGCCTCGACCTCACACAACGATACATTTAACGGACAAATCCAACTCTTTCTCCCTTCTATCTACAAATAGCATCCATCTACCCACGTACTAAGGAAAGGAGCATTGCTCTTTACTGCTATGGCAGCAGCCATACTTCAGCACCATACGGTGCGACAAACCCCTACTCCACCACCAATGGGAACATCAACAATCAGCCTCACCGCGTCATCAACCCGCAGCCAAACTCCAATTCCTAACAAACACTTGCCTATTTGCCCTACTGGACCCGCCCCAGCCAGCTCCAAGCTCCCTGCTGCCTCCTATTCATCTTCTAGCTCATCTTCAAGCAAACAATTCAGTGTTCAGCACCCAACTGCCTTATACCCAGCAGATAACAGATACCATCAGGTTTACAACCACCCACCGGTATTCTCAATTAATGGCAAACAGTTAGCCACTGCTCTCGACGATCTAGCAACAAGACCCCTTCCTGATCCATCTAAACTGTTCCCATGGCTCCATGGCTTACACCCTGAGAACCAGATTCAACTGTCGTTCTTCGTATCTCGTCGTAGAACTCTACGGCGGATTCCAAAATGCCTTAGATCAATCACAGTGGTGAAGGTTGGTGGTGACTTGACGAAGGCTAAGCTTAAGGGTGCCGTTGCTCCTGACGAAATCCTGGCTGGATCCAGTTTCATCGATGCAGACCCCCCTGAAGGCTTCTCAGTCAGAAATTTTCATATTCAGACAGCAAAACTTGCTGCTATATCAGATATTATCGTATACGGAGATGATGACGTGAGCGAGGAAAGCATCTTGGCTGTTGCGGTTGATATTTCTACTGCGCAGGAAGAATGGATGAGGAGATATGATCCTGGTCAAGAGACCAGACTGTTTAACACGTTTGTAGTTTCCAGTAAGTCCTCGGCCACCCATGTTTTCAAAAGAATTAGCCCAGAGTTCGTCCACAGTAGCTTACCATAGAACAGGTTCCTTTCAAGATATAGAGCACCAGCACCCTGATATAGTAGCCATTAACCAAGATGGGGTCTTGACTGGCCAAGTTATGGACTTTTGTAAGACCTCTCTCTTTTAGACCTAATGATATCCTTCACACTACTAACAGGCGCTCAGTCCTTTGGGAGCGTCTAGAAATGTACAGCATGTCCCAGGCAACTGAGATAACGAAGAATGTCTGGCAAGGACCATCCCCGGATTTGAGTTACGACATGGGTGGGCCACCAACTAGTCATTATGACGTTTTCATTGAAACACACGACGGTGCCAGTATACCCGATACGAGATACTTGGCTAAGATATCGTCAACGCTCCATAAGGGCCCGCATCATATTGAATTTCCATCGTCTGGTAGCATTATGGCATCTTCATGGAGCCAACTCGAAGTTTATGACTTTATTGCTACTTGCAGATGGATATATCAACTTGCCAATCCGCGCAGGAGAAGGTCTCTCTCTGAGAATAAAGACGGTGATATACCAATGAAAGCAGCTACTACTAAACCTTACAAAATCTTTATACACTGTGGGGATGGTTATACTGAAAGCTCTCTTCTTGCCCTGGCATATTTCATGTATGCCGAAGGTGCCCCTGTTCATGAAGCCTGGCTAAGGCTACATTGTGAGAAAAAGAGGAATTTCTTCGCCTATCCATCTGACGTCACATTCCTCTTAGGGATTCAACAAAAGTTGCTAAGTGAGAGCCCGAATCCAAGGGCTCGACAACTAACCCATCGACCTAACCCAAACTGGATGACAAAAATGGATGGCTCTTTGCCCAGCCGAATCTTACCTTACATGTATCTTGGGAACTTAGCTCATGCCACCAACCCGGAGCTACTTTGGTCGTTGGGGATTCGCAGAATACTAAGCGTTGGAGAACCTTTGTCCTGGATGGCCGAGGATGTTGAAAAATGGGGCGCCGAAAATCTGTTGTATATCAATGAAGTGCAGGATAATGGCATTGACCCTTTGACTCAGGAGCTAGAGAGATGCCTTGCATTTATTGGTATGTTTTCCTCTGGTCTACTTCGCATATAATCAGGAGGCCCAACAAACACTAACTTCACGGTGTTAGATGCGGGCAAATTTGAAGGAACGGCGACATTGGTACATTGCCGTGTTGGCGTTTCAAGATCTGCCACTATATGTATCGCTGAGGTCATGAAGACTATGAACCTATCTTTTCCTAGAGCATAGTAAGCTTCGCACAATATATTGAATCCAAAAAAAAAAAAAAAAAAAAATTAACTAACTCGTTTACTTAACTAGCTGTTTTGTTCGGGCACGGAGGCTGAATGTCATTATCCAACCACATCTTCGATTTGTGTAAGTTGAATTTAAAGCCTCTCCGACACTTCTACCGTTTTTTCCCAACAATTCAAGTTGTTTCTTTACTTCTTCTCGTATGCTAACAATAAATCCTTTAGATATGAGCTTCTTAAGTGGGATGAGATCCTTCAGCACAGAAGAGGTAACACATTCAAACGAGATCTGGAATGGCCTACCGTGGCGCGTGAAATCGCTCTTATGAACAAACCGTATTCACGGCAATAACTAAAGACACAGTTCCAATAACCGAGCTACTGACAGATACCATTTTTCTCTCCAGTACCACCATCCCTTCAACCCTTTACTGGCTGGATCAGCATCTTCCTGCTATACTTCACCTCTCTTGTTTCCAGTTGCTGATCCATCTCCCTTTGCTCGTTCGTTCGAGTCCCTTTAATCTTCCTCATTTTACTCTTTATGAAACTCACGGGCAACCCCAGTCATCCTTACTGCCTATGATGCATTTATTACTTTCTGCCTCTACTCTAATTTCTTAACGTCTCTTACGATTCTAATGAGTTATGTTGTACGGAAGCGATGTTAACGGCACGACCTTTCAGTTCCTCTTTCATGTCTTTTCCAATTGATCTCTTTGTTTCATGAATATGAGCGTATCTCTGTCCAGACCTTCAATATGCGTTCTATACTAGCTTCTATTACCGGTAACTATTACATCAATACATACTAAACTCTCAATCGTTCGGCCTGTTCAACTAATTAGTAGTTATGGAAGTCCGTAACATAAATGACAATAACGTCTCTATGGGCGTGCTAGCTTAGGGCGATGGAAGTCATAAATGGAAGTCCATACATTACCTATCCTCTGAGATTTGGCTAACCCTGTAATTATCTAGGATGTCAATATTGAGCTATCGAACCTGTACTACGAGTCAGTTAACCACCTGACTACCTCAAGTAGTGAAGGCTCACGGCAGAATACGGGACACCAACCGGCTCGTATCAGCAATGCGGCCGAAATATCAACTTTCAAGTTCATAACGGTTCTCAGCACGTTGACTCCTCTGCCTTACATTACATTGGGCTGATATTTCCCTTGCACAAGTCGGCCCTGTGGCCCCCCCTCCTTTACTGACAACCTTGCAACATGGCACGCGATTGTTGGTATGTCTTAATCGATATCTGTCAAATAATATGCTGCATAGTCTGCCTGCCGGTTCTTATCCCTGTCTATTACATCTATACCTCAGTCACGTTCAGGAGATACCAGTGGGCCAGGAGGTTCAAGAAGTACCACAAAACGGATGTGCTGCCTCTGCCCTCTCGTCGGCAACGGGTTCTTTCAATTAATACTACCCTTGATAGCCCACGCCAGCAGCAATTCCAGCAGAAGCTTCACGCAAACGAGAGAGAACTCAATCAACCATCCTACTGCCAGACGCAGTCTCGGCTGTTTCAACTTCCTGCAGAGCTGAGGCTTATGATATATAACTATGTTGTTGGAAGTCGGAAGATCCATGTAGTGCATACCAATAGCCGGAAACTGGCTGCATTTCCGTGTACCCATGACTCAGAGACCGTTTCTAGTGACGAAAATGTCTGCAACTGCGTATCTGAAAATGTTGTGCACGCAAATAAACAGACAGGTTGCACTTTCGTTGAGGATATTCTGGCCCCGGTAACCTGCGAGCGTCCAGGTATTGGAATACTCTCCTTACTTCAGTCATGCAGATTAATGTAAGTCTTTCGCATAACCAGTTATGTCTTCCCCAACTCAGCGAGAAACTCACTAACTAATGCACTGCTGCAGCTATACGGAAGCCATAGAGGTGCTATATGCAAGGCGAACATTTAGTTTCGAACAACCCTACACATTTCTTGCTTTTGCCCATTCGATCCTACCACAGCGTTTGAAGGCCATCACCAGCATTGAGATAGCTCCATGGGACTGGAGTGTCTTCTATGACGATGGCCGTTCACAGTTTTATCGGAAAGCGCAGCGATTTTGGCCACGAACCGGAAACGATAAAGAGCCGCTGCCTAACACATGGGAAGTTTCCTGCTATGTTATCGCCAACGAAATGGAAAGCATAAGGGAATTTCGACTTAGGATATACAGTCAAAAAATTCGTTGTCGGAGACGAATATCATATTCTAGCCCACACTCGAATTTGCAAGCAGTGACGGAAGTCGTTTGTCGTCCATTGTATCAAGTGGGAAAACTGGAGAGATTTGAAGTCGAGCTGTGCTGGCCCGTAAAATGGGAAATGCCAGAAAATACACCCTTTGAGATAATCGCCCCTAGTTGTGGGAGGCCTTATGTAGATTATTAGTCTCAACAATAAAGAAGCATTAGTCTCTTTTGGCTACGAAGTCAGTAACATGTGCCCGGTTAACGTAGTTATATTTCATAGCTACTTATAATAAATTAATTTTAGGGTATGTCACGGCCTGCTAGGACATGCGATGCATAAATAAAAGATAGAAAGTTATTACAAAGATACAGGCCTTTAGGTATGATAATTAGAAGGAATGAAAAGACTGGGCAGCCTACACGACGGTACAAGAATCCATCGAGTTAAATAACACCATGACAAGAGCCGAATTAGGTAGAGAATGAGGATAAATTAGAGCAGTGAGAAAAAAGGGTATAGTTGATAAGTGTTCATAATTCATTTTGAGATCATATCATGCTTCGAGCAGGGAGATATGTAAGGCCGTAAAATGGGACAGTATAGGTAGTGACGGTATCATCGATATAGGAGGCAGAAAGCGAGTTCTCTTTCTGGAGAGATGTAGTAGATGGGATTGGAGAATAGAGGCACGAGGGAGGATGTTTAAAGGCAATAAGGACACTAGCAGCGTTCAAAAACTCGATAAAGTCCTTTCAGGTCTGCTACTTCGATCACACCCCGAACAAGGTCGTTAGTAGCAACTAACCGTGAGCGTATAGCGGGGAACAAGGTATGTTCAAGCATCCATGACAACTGCTCTCGTCGACGAGTAACTGATTCATCTTCCGATTCAGCTTCGTCATGACTGGAGGACTGATCTGCCTGTGGGCTTTCAGTGGCAGAGACGCCATTTTCTCTTGAGATGTCAGAAACTATAGAGTGCGGGCTACTTTCTCGAGCACCGGGGCCAGGCTGCCTCCCACATCCCCCTTGCGGGGTACTAGATGAATATGGAGTTGGTAGTTGCTCTGGTGTATAAAAGGCCGCAAGTTCCGTCAAGAATGTGCGGAAACAGGCTTCTTCGCCACTCCAGTCCACATATGGGCCTAAACGGAGAAGAAACCGCGGTAGTTTTACAAGAGATGGCATGTACCCTTTCAAAAGCAGAGGTATCGATAATAAGCATCCATCCTCGGATATGGAAAGCGAGAAATATTCCTTTAGCATTTCCCTTCGGTCGATTAAATGCTTGGCCACAGTGGCTGCAACAGAAGTAAAATCGACAACTATGCCTTCGTCTATGCTGCGGCTGGCATCTGACGCTACTGAAGCCGCATCTCCATCTGGTGGATTGTTGCGGTAGTATTCGTCACGCTCCACCTCAACAGCTAGGGAAAGCAGATCCACAAGCTTCGGAGATGACTCGAGATTGATCGATCCAAAGTTCCCGAAGTTTGTAAGTCCGAGTTGGTAGAAGAACTCATTGCACACCATTCCATAATCCACTAGGTATAGCTTGACGCCGGACTGTATTGCGGCAACCCGACGTCGCTCGTCCACGAGGCCGACGTAGGTATTCGAAGAAAATATTTCGGTGAGATTATTGTGCATGGAGGACCGAACAGCTGCACGCAGGTTTTTAACGGAGGTAAGGCGAATGTTAACTGGTTCCCGGTTAACTTTTTGATAAGCGAGGCCTTGGTTGCCGCTGGGTTTGTCTCCATGGACCGTCTCCGAACCTGCAGGAGGAAGCATGGATGTTATCTTCCGCAATTTCGCATCTGTCCGGACAAGATTATTTTCGTAAGGCCGTTTCGTTCCAGCAACCGTTCGAAGAGCTAATCTTTCACCCTCTGCCCCTGAAGAAGCGTCTCCGGCTAACGTAGCTGGTTCTGGTGGGCGAATTCCGGGGAGAAGTGTTTGTGTCATGAACGTACGGCTTGAGTCTACCGCAGCAAGCTTGGTCCTTATGGCGCTGCAGATGGATTCTATGATCTCATCTTCATTTAAGAAGTTGACTTCTCGCTTTGTGGGATGGACGTTCACGTCAAGGCGTTGGGGTTCAATTTCAAGATCAAGGTAGACAAATGGATGTCCACCCTTTGGAAGAAAAGTCGAATAAGTTTGCTCCACGGCTCGTTTGATGGCGGTAGACTCGACAGCACGGTGGTTAATGAAGATAAGGAGAGTGGTCTTTTTAGCATGGTAGTTGGCGTTGGTAACCCATGCTGAAGCACGGCACCCCCACCGCTTGCCATCCACCTCGAGGGAGACCAGCTCGTTAGCCACAGCACCACCGTGTAGTTGTCTTATCCGGTCGAGTATCGAGGAGTTTATCGAAGTTGACAAGCTGACGCCAGCTTCGCCGTGCTTCTTGCAGGAAAACGCAGTTCCACTGCAGTGTACAGCATAACGGCCAACGATGTCAAGGATCTTTGCATACTCTTCACTTGCCGACCTGAATGCACGACGCCTGGTTGGAATGTTATAGAACAAATCTTCTACCTAAACACCGAGTTAGCATATGCATATATATGGAGAGCGAGAATATAATAGATGGGTTTTCGAGGGCGGTACTAACGGTGATCTGGGTGCCTTTGCGTCCGGCAATGGGCTTGGGGGAGGCATTCTGCCCTGGTTTTGCGGGTACAAGCTTTCCATCACTGTAATGAGCTCTCCAGGCACAGCTTGATCCGGCCGTCTTCGTTGTCACTGTCAAATGGGCAACATGGCTGATGCTTGCCAGGGCCTCGCCACGGAACCCGTACGTAGCGATGGAGGAGAGGTCTTCGAAGGCCTGTAGTTTTGACGTCGTGAATCTCTCGCACAGAATTGAAAGGTCATCGTGCTAGGAATGCAAGTCAGTTTGTCTGATACAAGAATACAAGCAAAGTTTTCTTGGTACTAACGTCGATTCCATGACCATTATCGGTGATCTGGAGGAGTTTCAGGCCCCCTTCCCTAACCAGGATCTCGACGGAAGTTGAGCCAGCGTCCACCGAGTTCTCAATCAGCTCCTTCAATGCGTGCATAGGAGCCACTATGATCTCCCCAGCCGCAATCTTGTTGATAACATCCGGATCCAGCGCCTTCTGACCGTCAGTAAGGTCTGCTCTCTCTCTCTCTCTCTCGACTCGAGACTGTATCACGTGACTCACCTGGATCTTCCTGGGCCTCGCAGAAGCAGCAGAAGCAGCAGAAGCAGCAGCAGCAGAAGCGCCGGAAGCACCAGCTGGGGACGAGCTGGCGTTTGCCGTGTCTGCGCCTGCGTCTGCGCCTGGCGCCGGCCGCTTGAGGCCCCGCGGGCCCTGGGACGTCGAGTCAAGGTCCATCCTGTCGCCGTCCATTATCTGTGCAGTCGGGGCGTCGCAGTCTGTTCCCCAGAAGTTGGCGCGACGGGAACGCTGGCGATATATATGAAGTTGGACGAAAGGGCCCGTCAGCCTGGCTAGGGGCGGGCGGGAAGTTGGGCTGGTCGAGGTCTAGGCTTGCACCACGTTCCCCATAGCCAGCGTAAGCAGAACCAGGCGGCAGAGAGTAAAATAAAAACGTAAAAAAAAAAAGAAAGAAAGAAAGAAAGAAAAGAAAAAGAAAAAGAGCTGCTGCTGCTGCACCCGGCACCGATGAAGCGCAAGAGGGCGCGCGCAAAAAAGGCTGGGGCAGATCGAGGGGCAAGGCCGAGCACCCAGGCCTGGATCCGTCGCTCCCGTCGATGTCGATGCTGTGATATGCAGGCGGCAGGGCTCCCAGGAAAAGAAAAGCCGAGCCTCGCTGGGAACCTGTCACTTTTCCTGCTTCTCGTCGTCGCCTTTTGGCTGCAGCTTCTTCTCCTACATCTGCATCTTCTGCGTCTTCTTCTGCCTCGTCTTTTCGTCTTTTCAACTCTTTTCACTCTCTTTTTGCTTTATTTTTGCTTTTCTGCGGCTGCAAAAAAAAAAAAAAAAA